GCCCCACACAGCCTGCTTGTTCAGTCGTTTGGTCGACCCCCCCCCCTCATGCATGAATTTCATGCACTGGACCTCTAGTAATTTAATAAAAAGTGATTATTCCCTGTAACTCTGTGTGTAGTGATATTTTTCACATACCATGAGGAATGATTTTTATTCACTTTTATATAACTCTAAGCAGTGTTATCCATTTTTCAGAATTTTTGTCCACCCCCTACATTTTCTTTCTTTCTGAGTTGTCCTCTATGTTATTCCTGCTCTATAATGTTTACAATAGCAAAAATTTAGAAGCAGAACTAAATAATCAATAACAAAGACAATGAAATTCATTTATTTGGGGTGACAATTTATATGGAAGAATTCCATTTTTGTTTTAAAATTATGTAAATACTAGTGACCCGGTTCATGGATTCAGGCACATTGAAAGGAAATTAATTAGAAGGTGGCCAGCAGGGCGGGACTGGGAGAGATGGGCTGGACACACCCTAGAGCCAACCTCCCTCGGTCCCTGCCCAGTGTCTGTGGCGTGAGCGGGATCCCTCCGGCATGTGGGGTCCCTCGGCCTGGCCTGCGGGAATCAGGCCGAAACCGGCTCTCCAATATTCCCCCGAGGGGTCCTGGAGGGCACTCTGCAAAGTTGCTGTCGTACAGGGTGTGGAACACAAACACAAGTGTGCAGTAAACCAGATTCGGGGGCAACAGTGCCCTAGCAACAACATAACCCATGGCTGAAGGTGGAATTGCGCAGCCCCTGTGAGGATTTGGGTTCCCTCCTCTCTGGTTTTGGGGTGCGTCACCCAAGAACCGCTACTGCCAAGTCACTGCAGCTTGGCAACTCCTGTGTTGGGTGTCTGCCTCCTGGTGGTCAGAGCACATCATAGCGACCGGTTGGATGGTTGGACACTTAGCATATTAGCTTTTTATATATAGAGATTATATATAGAGACTAGAGGCCTGGTGCATGAAATTAGTGCACTTGGGGGGGGAGGTCCCTCAGCCTGGCCTGCACCCTCTAGTAGTCTGGGACATCCCTCTCACAGTCCAGGGCTCTCGCAGGCTGGGACCCCTCACTCCTTACCACCCGCCTGCAGCGGAGGCTGGAGAGTCCCCCGCCACTACCGCTGCACTCACCAGCCATGAGCCCGGCTTCTGGCTGAGCGGCGCTCCCCCTGTGGGAGCGTACTGACCACCAGGGGGCAGCTCCTGTGTTGAGCGTCTGCCCCCTGGTGGTCAGTGCACATCATAGTGACCAGTTGTTCTGCTGTTTGGTCGATTTGCATATTAGGGTTTTATTATATAGGATATGCAGGTAAAGTACATAAGGGTTGTCTGCCAATATGGTTCTCTCCTGATAGGTGGGGTTATTGCATTTCTACATTTATATTTTTTGCTTATTTGTACTTTTACCCAGTAAAAATTTTAAATATATTTTAATTGATTTCAGAGAGAGGAAGTGACAGGAAGAGAGAGATAGACACATTGACGAGAGAGAGAAACATCAATGGGCTGCCTCCTTCAGGTCCTCTACTTCAGATCAAGCCTGAAACCCCAGCATGTGTCCTAAGCCACACTGGCTAAGGCTAATATGTTATATTTCAACAGATTGAATCTATAAATAAATATGAGGATCCAGCTATATACCAATAATCTAGACATTAAAAGGGATTTAAAACAAAGTAATTCTTCTTACTAATTTTTTTTGTTTTGTCGTATAGTTATTTTCTCATAAAAATAGTTATATTAACAAGCATTGGGTGTATTTTTGTTATTTTAAAATGACTCAATACATCTTTTTAAATTTCTCAGTCTTAAATTCTAACAAGAAAAAAATTGATCATTATTTGCTTATGACCCACATTAGGGAAAGCTCTTAGGACGCTCAAAAATTTTTTAGTGTAAAGGGCATGAGACCAACAAATTTGAGAGTTATTGAATTATAGTATTCACAGGAAAAGAATGGAGTGGGGTTGAGCAGCCCACATGGGTAGAAATGATACTGTATAGCCTTGCGAATTTTTCCCTCCTTTCCTTCTGAAATGTAAGCAGCACTAAACGGTTTTTGAGTTCAAAAAATACATGTTAAAATATTTTAACAATTTAATTTCTAAAATCAGTTACCACCACCTAGTGTTATGATACTACATCATCTTTTCCTTAAAATTTTAAACAAATATCTAAAACAGTATATTTATAATAATATCATGTTACTCAATACAACAAAGTCGCTGTTCATAATTCTTGAATAATAAATTATTCATATTAGGTCATCAATCACACATTTAGGCATGTAGTTTAGATGATATTATTTTAAAAATGTATTAGTCCTGTTTCCTTAGAGTATATATATATTTACAATTTTTACCTGCTTTTGATAGCTAAAGTGCATCATCAAGATTGAGTGTCGACTCATGAACCAGGAGGTTGCAGTTTGATTCCTGGTCAGGGCACATTCCCGGGTTGTGGGCTTGATCTCCAGTAGGGGCTGTGCCAAGAGGCAGCCGATCAATGATTCCCTCTCATCATTGATATTTATATCTCTTTCTCACTCTTCCTTCCTCTCTCTGAAATCAATAAAAACATATTTTTTTTAAAAGTATAGAAGTTAATTATTAAAAAGAATATTTATTATTGTACAAAGTTGTAATTAGAGTGAGAATATAATATTCTCACATATTGTAACTTATTGAATTTATTTATGAGACGTTCTCAGTAAGTCTAAAAGAAGTTTATTTACATTTGCAGAAAATTCTAGTAATTATATTATTATATTTTAAGATTTTTAGTCTAATTTTTTTCTTAGCCTAGCATTTAAGATTAATCATTATTAGCCTATCAGCCTTTATTTGCTTCAGTCAGTGAAACTGGATATCCTATATAATAAAGAGGTAATATGCAAATTGACC